TCGACAAAAGTTACCATCACGCGAAGTCCCATATCCTCTCGAACGTCTCCGAGCTTGATTATCAAGACACTGGCCTCCGGAGCTCGTGGTTGCCGTCTAGGGTAAACGCCCATCCTCTGTACGTGGTACCCGCGACAGGACTGGAGGGACGTTTGCACGGTATATCGCCAACTGGATTTCCGCTACTGACGGCGAGTTTAGCGGAGTACCGTCCTCGACCCTACCGACGACGTAATATTAACACCTCTCGTAGGACAGGTGTATATACAATTAACGTCTTACTCGTGTGTCCTATCTATCGACCGGAAAGACAGGTGTGTCACCTAGGTTATACCTTATTTATTTCTTCTTGTCTTTATCTCTGGGTTGCATGTCCTATCTCCGTAAGATCTTGATTGTGTGTAATTATGTAATGTGTGGTGGCGCGACGCTTAGGTTGGTGAAGCAGGACATTGTCCGACACCACCTGGGACGAGAACGCGGCCTATCAGACTTATTGAAACAGTCTGTCAGGGAGGGAAGAGTCGGACGGGGAGAGTCTCGCGGATCGGACCTCCTCCAACCGGGTCTAACCCATTTCGAGGATAACGTGTACGTCTGGACTCCTTGGCAGGTCCCGACCGGGTGGTAGTAGACACAGTGGAACGCAGGTGCCGCTGCTCGCCCGCTGGACCCCGATTTGTCCTCTGACTGTTAGCAAGAGACGAGTTGGGAGGAAGGGAGTCCTCCCCCTCTTACTCTGCGTCGCCACCTTTTCCGGCATCTCGTCCGAAACGACCGGTACCGAGGGGCACACGTTTGTGTAGGTGAGGGTTTCCCACTACAGGACCGGCTCGGTCCCTCCTTGGTGGGTCAGACCCTCCCGGGCGAGAACTGTACTCGGACCGGCGGGGACAAGAGTGTCAGGGCCTTACACCGAAATCTCTATTTATTGTAAAGAGAGACTCCGGGGTGTTGGTGTCCAAGAGCGTCACGCGACTTGTTCCGCCGGCCTCGACTGAGGCAGCGACCGACAACTACATTCCGCGTCGACACCACCCCGCCAACAGCCGAGGGAGTCGCGTCGGCTGGTACAAAACCGGGACATCATTTCCCACACGTCACGACATCCTCGTCATGATGACCGGGCATCGAGATCTTCCAACTACACGGCTCAAGACAGTCTCTGCGACCGTGCGTCGGATATCGAGAGGAGGGATCCGTCCGGCGGGGGGTAACGACAGGGCCTACGGTAGAACTTCGTGGCACTGCATCCTCCTAGTGGGCGGGGGTCAGCCTCAACAGGCGAGACCGTCTTACCGAAACCCTGGAGGGGTCATAGCCTCCAACGGGGAGGTGACTCCTTAACCAGTCGGTCTGGTGGCAAACACGCGAAAACCCTAGTTTTTCTTCCGGCCGTTTGGGTGGGAGACGTCGCCGCTGCGTATACGGAATGGGGTTGGGTCGCCATCGGTGCTCTACTCGTCGGCGGTACTCTGGCGTCTCAGACCGTACTACCAATTTCCGACAGTTCGCAACGGGCGGGACAGCGCTCAGACATTAACCAAATCGTTATACCTTGGAAAAACCGTCCGTTACACGACTAAAGTCGACGCTTTCTAGGTCTTATCTCCAGACTTAAGAGGGGACAGAAACGAACCCTTAGGGTTCCTTCATCGTACCTCATTCGGGGAAAAGGAGAGAGTGACTCTCATAATGTTTCGTCTCGGTGATCCGGACAAAAACCGGTTCGTCCGCGCGGACTTCGAGACAACTTTTCCTTTGGGATAGAGCGAGCAACCTACTATCTAAACGGAGAGAATTCGGCGCGACTTGTTTGCCTTGACTTCGGCCATGAGAGTGTGCGAGCTGACCGCTCTGTCGGTGCACCCGAGTTGCCTTTTGATTCGGGGTGACCGTAGCGGGGCTACACTCAGACCGAATCCTTTGCTCTCCCCGCCTGCCTGTGGGCGGGCAGGGAGAGCCTTCCCCCCTATCCGTCCATGCACACTCTACAAGAGGTAAGCATGTGTGAGTGTGGGGGACATGGTGCACTTACGTTCTCCCCATGCTCCTTGGGGACCTGGGAAACGTAGTGCGCAGTGTATTCACTTGCGCTGGCACCTGCAGGGTGGAGCTATATGGCATATTAGGCTCTACCCGGCCAAGTAAGCTGCGGCCCGACTTCTCCACGGTCTCAACCCGATGAGAGGAAGTTGGGGTGCGATGGCTGTTAACCAAAGGCCAGTCAGGGGCAGTGTGATGGATCGATGTTGTTGGACGACAGGGCGTTTATCCATCGGGGCTCCACCCACTGTACCCATAGAGTCCAGTAGAGGGCGGAGCCTGTGTGAGATATAACGGGGGGTTACGTATTGTAACCCTAGTTATATAAGCACAGGCGGAGCCCTCTACCTTGGGGCCCTGTCTTTCCTATACCGCTCACTGAAGAGGGTGTAGGATGACAGGATCAGGAGGCATGGCCGCCTTATATACTGTCTGCCTGTGCACGCATTCAGGTAGGCTCGCCCTGGTTGGCCGGCTACGTTTATACGAACTCAGTGTATGAATGCTCGCATAGCATGGTTGAGAGTAGTACTCATAGAGTCCAGTAGAGGGCTCCTTCTGTGCTTATATAACTAGGGTTACAATACGTAACCCCCCGTTTCTTGCTTTAAGGACATCAACATTCAAGGAATCTGAAGATGTTAGCTTATCTGAGTGGCAGAGATGTGACCCCCTTACTCTTCTAAATCCCCTTTAGCGTTGTCTCTTTATTTGTGCACCTCACATGCTCTTCAATTTTCACCTTTTACTCCTCTCACCATTCCCCAAGCAACTCTCTTCTCGCCTCTCCACAGTCTAGTCTCATAGGCTTTCCACTTAACAGCACAAATAAAAAACAGGTCGAGAGGAGCAGCATCCTCTAGCTGTCTGGCTGGCAGAAATCCTTGACCTTTCACTCCTGTTGCGTATTTCTGAGCAGAAGAGCCTGTCAGATAACCTCTCGTCTTGAATGTTGAGAGACCCTTTAAATGTTTTGGAAAGAAAAAGAAATAGGCAGGGGAAAGAGAATTAATAGAGACAGGCACAGCTATTCGGCA